ATGTTGATCCTATATTTAAATTCTCTATTTATTTCAACTGTGCATTTATTTTCGAATGTCACTGGGTGGTGTAAACCTATTCCTTTGTTATGGTCAATTTGCATTGAATACCCTATTCCTTGATACCTTGGTAATAAATTGATCAGCTTGAACCTTATATATTGGTTTGGTTCAGCTAAATGCTATATATATATATATACATATACATATACATATACATATACATATATATATATACATATACATATACATATACATATATATATATACATATACATATACATATACATATATCTATATATATATATATATATATGTATTTATATATCTATAATTATATATATATATATATGCTTAGTCATGCTTAGAAACATTAGCTCATTAATGGGATGATTCATACTACACTATTACTTATGGTTATATTTAATGGTAGCTCACGATGGTCAATCATGTTATGATAATTAAAATCTGATTAATGGTGGGTTGTGAGCACATGGTTTTGAAGGTCGTGCTCATGACAATTAAGGACCGGTTCACGAGCTACTGTTGTGAAACATTAACCGTGCCAACCACAAGCCAGCGTGGGCAACGGCTTTACCTTTTGTATAGCATGATTCACTGTGGGGTGCCAGACTGTGAAGCGGCGAGAAGTCCGTTGGGGTCGTTGGGGAGTCCATGCCTCTGGTTTTTGAGGGGGTGATTATGATCCAGGAATGGTGCACTGTGGTGAGTTGTGTTGTGCGAGGGGTACTGTCACAGTTCTTTTTTGAGGTACCGTGGTGGTATTGAGGCGCATGGTGACATGTCGTGGAGCTGTGTCTTGTGGGTACAGTGGTACACCTCTGGCCAGAGTAAAACTATTCGAATAGCCGTGCCCGCGGTTATGGGCGGGTCTAACAATGTTTTTCGTAATTAGTCTCACACTACTCATTAATGATAATAATGTGATAATTAATTTGACTCTTGGTTTGGAATGGATAATTCCTGGTTTGGAGGTTTGATCTGTACGGCCGGGGTTGGTTGTTCAGGTTTGGTTGGGCCTGTGCAGCATGGGTGTGCTGTTCAGTGTTGATTAATATTGATGATTAATTACTCTACTGTTTTACAAATTCTCAACTCTTTGCTAAATGCTGCTTTCGCAAATGAACCCTATATTATGCCATCCTTTGGTATCCTTGTGCACTTGCATATTTGCTGTGTGGCTTGCGGAGTATGTCATATGCTCACCTTGCAATAATCAATCAACCTCAGTTGAAGAAAAAGGATCCAGAAGGAGAAGACGTTTGGCTTATACCCCAGTTGAGCTGCCTGTGGGAGTGGAGCCGGAGCTTCGCTAGATCGTTAATTCCGCTGTTGTTTTCTTTTCTTTTGTAAGTACATAACGTTATTATTACGATGGATTTGTATATTAAATTGTCAGTTTGTATACCTCGGCTGATTCCTGGACGAGGATTTCATGCACAAATAAGTTCGGAAATTGTTTGTGAATTTCCGGGCGTGACACCGGAGCGGGGTGACATGGAGGTACACATAATCCCCTGCTTCAAAAGTGAGCTCCCTTCGGTGGTTGTCCGCGTAGCTTTTCTGTCGAGACTGGGCAATTCTCAGCCTCTCTCTGACGGTTCTGACTTTCTCTTCTGCTTCCGTTAACACTTCTGTTCTGAACAGTTGACGTTCGCCTGTTTGGTCCAGAAGAGAGGTGTGCGGCACTTCCGGCCATACAACGCTTCGAACGGTGCCATTTGTAGACTGGCCTGGTAGCTGTTGTTGTACGAGAATTCAGCATAAGGCAGACTTTTATCCCATGCTCTGCCAAAATCGAGTGCACAGGCTCGCAACATATCCTCCAAGATATGATTGACCCTTTCGGTCTAGCCATCTGTCTGCGGATGGTAGGCTGTGCTGAAATTCAAGCGGGTCCCCAATTCTTCCTGCAGCTTCTGCCAAAATTTTGAGGTGAACTGACTCCCTCGATCAGATACAATCTTCTTGGGTCCCCCATGTAGACACATGATCCTTGCTAAGTACAGCTCTGCCAATTTCTTTCCCGTATACGTGGTATGCACTGGAATGAAATGGGCAACTTTAGTGAGCCGATCCACGACTACCTAGATTGAATCATGACCAGATGATGTCCTGGGCAGACCTGTTATGAAATCCATTTCAATCTCTTCCCATTTCCATTCCGGGATCCGAAGAGGCTGTAGCAAACCTGCTGGCCTTTGGTGCTCTGCCTTTACTCGTTGGCATACGTCACAGAGTGCGACAAATTCAGCTATTTCCCTTCTCATGCTTACCCACCAGAACTTTTCTTTGAGGTCTTGGGTACATTTTGGTACCGCCTGGGTGAATGGAGTAGTGAGTCTGGTGAGCCTCGGTGAGTATCAGGTCCTTTAGTTCCTTGTCGTCAGGTATGCACAATCTTTCTCCCAACCAGATTGTGCTGTGTTCATCTTCGTGGAAATCCCGGGCTTTTTCGACCCTCATATTCTTTTTTAGCTCTGCTATTTCAGGATCATTTACCTGAGCTGCTCTGACTTGATCCACGAGCGTAGGTCGTGCCTCTAGGGCAGCCACGTACCCGTGTTCTACTAGCCCCAAGTTGAGGTGTTCAAGCTCCTGCTGTAATTCCTTACACATGTCTTCGGTGCATAAAGCATTGCAGTAGCTTTTCCTGCTTAATGCATCTGCCACCACATTGGCTTTGCCAGGATGGTAGTGAATGCTCATGTCATAATCCTTGATTAACTCCAACCATCTTCGCTGTCGGAGATTTAGATCAGGTTGGGTGAAGATATATTTCAGACTCTTGTGATCCGTATATACTTCGCAGCGGTTGCCAATCAGATTGCCTCCAGATCTTCAAAGCATGAACCACCGCTGCCAATTCTAAATCATGTGTTGGATAGTTTCCTTCATGCGGGCGCAACTGCCGCGAGGCATAAGCGACCACTCTGCCCTCTTGCATTAGAACACATCCAAGCCCGTGACGGGATGCATCGCAATAGATTTGGAAGTCTTTCGTCTGATCGGGAAGAATCAGAACTGGAGCAGATACTAATTTCTTCTTAAGCTCCTCGAAACTCTTGTCACACTCGGCTGTCCACTTGAATTTCTCGTCTTTCTTAAGCAACTGAGTCCTAGGTCTGGCAATCCTGGAGAAATTTTCAATGAACCGACGGTAATAACTCGCAAGTCCAAGAAAACTCCGAATCTGTGACACTGTCTTAGGCGGGGTCTACTTGGTAACTGACTCCACATTCGATAGATCAACTGCCACGCCCTGAGCTGTAATGACGTGACCCAAGAATTTGACCTCTGATAACCAAAAGTCGCATTTGCTGAACTTGGCATAAAGCTGGTGCTCCTGCAACTTCTCGAGTACCAGACGAAGATGTTGCTCATGCTCTTCTTCCGACTTGGAATAGATTAGAATGTCATCGATGAATACCACAACAAACTTATCCCGAAATTCCGTGAACACTTTGTTCATCAGGTTTATGAAGAATGCAGGTGCATTAGTGAGTCCAAAAGACATAACCGTGCACTCATACAACCCATACCGAGTGGTGAAGGCTGTTTTGGGAATATCCTCTTCCCGGATTCTCAACTGGTGGTAGCCCGATCGCAGCTCTATTTTGGAAAACACTTTGGTTCCTTTCAGCTGATCAAACAGAACATCAATCCGTGGTAAAGGGTATTTGTTTTTTATGGTGACCTCATTGAGTGCGAGATAATCAACACACATGTCACACCCTGAAAATCACTAAATTATAAATTGTTGTGAAAAAGGAATTTTTAGAATTTATTTAATAATTAAAGTAAGTGTTTGAATAGAATCTATGAAAATTTTGAACATTAAATTGAGATAGATAAAATTTTATTAAATATTTTAAGTGTCCAAGTATTTTCTGGATTTTTCCAGGAATTATTTGAGCATTATAAGTATTTTAATAAATGAAACATCATTTCAGCAATTATTTAAATTAGAAATTCAATTAAAATTCTCCTCCCTTGACTTGGGCTGAATCTGGTCCACTCCTTCCTTACCCTTCGGCCTGTTCTTCCTATCTCTCAGCCAAAGTCCAGTTTTCATCCCCTGCAATCGGGCCAAGTAAAGAAAATAAGAAAGCCCAGTAAAAGTCTACTTTGCCTCCCCTCGCTACAGTACCTTCATCCTCCTCCAGCCGAGCCTGAACAGAGCCCGAGCCGTGTGCGTGCGCCGCCGCTTCCTTTGCAAAATCCGTCGCATCCCGTGCTCCGTTTCCAAAATTGGTTGCAAAAACGGATTCCCCTCGATCTCCTCTACCTTATCCCTAACAAACCCCTTTGAATACCGTTGTATATCGCGTGAATTCGACAAGGTTTTGAGCTCCGTTTTTCCGGCGAACCCTAACTAATCCGCCGCTCCTCCCCTATCCGAGCCGATCTCCTCCTCGTTTGGCTATAAATAGCAGCCCCTCGGCCTCCTCTTCCGTTTCCCCTCTTTTTCCTGAGCCGCCGTGCCCTAGCCGCCTCTCCCCACGCTAGCATCTCTCTCCGCCGCTGGCCGCCAGCACCAGCCGAGTCGCCAACGACCGGGGTTGGTTGTTCAGGTTTGGTTGGGCCTGTGCAGCATGAGTGTGCTGTTCAGTGTTGATTAATATTGATGATTAATTAATCTACTATTTTACAATTTCTCAACTCTTTGCTAAATGCTGCTTTCGCAAATGAACCATATATTATGCCATCCTTTGGTATCCTTGTGCACTTGCATACTTGCTGTGTGGCTTGTGGAGTATTTCATGTACTCACCTTGCAATAATCATCAAACCTCAGTTGAAGAAAAAAGATCCAGAAGGAGAAGATGTTTGGCTTATACCCCAGTTGAGCTGCCTGTGGGAGTGGAGCTGAAGCTTCGCTAGGTTTTATTTTTCCGCTGCAATTTTCTTCATGGTGAGGACTAAGTGCCTCTTATGTAAGTATTTATTCGCTTTAGTTATTTTGATGAATCTGTATATTAAATTGTCAGTTTGTGTAACTCGGTTGATTCCTGGATGAGGGTCTTAATGCACAAATTAGTTCGGAAATTACTTGTGAATTTCTGGGTGTGACAAGTTGGTATCAGAGCCATCTCGACTATAGGTCAAGCCAAACGGTTAAACCCATAAGGACATGTCTTTGCTAAAACAAAAATCTATTTGCAAAAGTCTGTTTTCCTCCTTATCCCATTGCTCCTTGTAAAAGCTTTTCTCATCCTCCCTTCCCCGTCTTTCAACTTGCTTTAGATGAATCTCTACAAGGAGAGGTTGGAAAAGATGATGGCACGCTTTGATGAAATTTGGGGTGATCTGCCCAAAAAGATTGATCAGATTAATGAGAGAAGAGAAGCTCTGGAAATCAAGGCATTATTCTAAAGGAAGCTGAGAAATATGGGAACTATGGTTTTACAAGTGAGCTTTGTCGTATGACGTATGATCTTGGATATGAGGTTCCACCAAAGTACACTAAAGTATCTACTCATGTTGGAGACCAATTGCATTGCAAGACAACTGTTACTCTTGTTTCCGACAAGGAAGATCTTCCCCAGCTATCATTCAATGGCAAAGCTAATTGTTTCTTGTATGCTCGTGAAGGTGTCGCTTCGCCAATTGTTTCTTTTATGCTTGTAAAGGAGTCGCATATGAAGCTTTGTGTCGTCGCGGTCGTCATTTCAAGAATCGTCTGGAGAATTTTACATATCACTACCATCTGAAACATGGTGATGATTTTTGGTTGAATGGTTGTACGCGTACCCAAGGAGAAGATAACCAAATGATTGTGCATATGACTACAATGTTGGATGCTATTGATGACCTCCACATTAATTACAAGACTCAAGCCATAAATCAGAAGCATGCCCAACAGGAGAAAATTGCCAAGCTATAGAAGATGGTTGAACAAATGGAAGACATGTCTCAACCTGAAGATAGTGACACCGCCAAGATGTTGAAATTTACAGAAGCTCGTTTTGCCCAGTATCGCAAAGACACCAATCGTAAGCTCGTTCTTCGCTAGAAGAGGACCTTCGAATTAGATGATGAACTGCAGAAGTTGAAAGGAGAACCTTCATCGGATGAAGATGATTAGGAAGATGTAAAGCCTACTCAAGTTGTCAAGCGTCTCTACACTGGAGTTATTATTTCTCTCATAGAAGGATGATTCCCGTGAAGATGAGTCACTTGAGAAGCCCCAAGTTCAAAGGTAGAATAGAGAAGTTTTAAGCACCTATGACAGAACCTAAGCTTTACCCTCAAGAGTAGTGGTCTTTTGTTTAGTTAAATCGTTGTGTTAGCTTGCTTGCTTAAGTTTTATTTGTGTGTGTGTGGGTTTTAGCGTATGGGATATATCAAGGGTTGTAATATAACCATACTAGTTCTAGAGTTCAGTTCAGCGTTAAAGGACAACCTATTTCACATCAATAAAAATTAAAGTTTAGTAAAAAATATATATATATTCTATTCTATATGCCCTGCTACTCTCTTAACCCTTTCTATCTCTCTCTTACCTCCTACCTAAGAGAATGGATTTAAGCAAAGGAAGTTTTGTGCTCATCAGTGGCAGTGGTTTTAATAACAAGTTAACAGTTAAGGAACAATGTGTCTGGATCTCCAAATAAACTTCATCCTGATGCTGATGTGGACAACACAATCAGTCATCCAAGGAAAGTTAAAAGTCAGAAGCTCAAGGGATACCATTGAAAAAAATTTCAAGAGAATTCTTTACATTTGGTCTCATTCGGTTTAAGGTTCCAAGTTTGATGTGAGCAAGAGTCATGAAGGAATAAGAAAGATAAAAGCTTACATCTATGTCATCAAGATGATTATTATCACTACAGTGTGGTTTATAGAAGGAATGATTATATCAAGGTGTCTGAAAGGACAATTCTTTTTGCACTATTTTTAAGTCAAGAGAATAGTGTCAATAAGGCTAAGACATTAAACAATGAGGAATGTAAAGAGATGTTGATTTAGAAGAAAAAATAGCAAGAAGATTCAATTCTCACGTGTTCAATGTGAAGTAAATGGAGGATAAAGTTTGCATTGTTATGGAAAAGTGAACACATTAAGTAGAGCAATTATTCATGTTATCATGGTAATGGAATATCAAGTGAAGGCTCGGTTCATAAAAGATTTGTCTTTTGATTAATGGAATAGATCAGGAGATAATGATTGCTAGCCCAATTCAGTAATAGTCAGGCTCGTGAAGGATGACAAAAGTTGTAATCGATCATTGGACGGTTTCTTGTTGATGGCAGTAATCATGACATTATTTCTGTTAATAGTAACCAAATAATATCGTCAGATGTGATCAGCAAAAGTATCATCAACAAAGGTTCAAGTTTGTATATGTTTTGGTTTGAGTAAGAAGATAGCGAATGAAAAGGAATGCACCCCTTTCATGTTGAGGGATTGGTATGTGTTAATTGTTTGAGTCAAGATATTTTTGGAGAGACTATACTAAAGATATGCTTTTTGTCTGGACTAAATAATGTGAAGCAGTTTCTAAGGGAAGCTTGTCATTGAAATTTCCATATCAATAGTCAATCAAGTAAGATGGATATTATCAATAGATGGTTGCACATATGATTCTACCCTAGATGGTTGCAGTAAAAGCCATGAGAATTGGAGCAAGTTCGAAGTGTAATAACAACTGATGCAAGATGTCAGTCACAACAATATTCTCTATTGCATCTTGATTAGATTATAAGTAAAAGGACGAGTTAACTACGTTACCATTTACCCAAATGGATGAAAGGCCATCCAATGTCTATATTGCAAAGGATCTATAATAGTTCAAGAGATTTAAATGGTTTGCGTTTTCATGAATAAAAAAAATGGCTCCGATAGGTGCAGTAATGGATAGTCAGAGGATAAGATATGGATCTAAGCAATCAGTTCATTCATGTATTCCTGTTTGTCAAAGATATATGAGATTCAAAGTTGTTTTATGGAATGCTAGTCTGTTTAAAGGTTGTGGAATCAGTTAAAGAGAGTGAGACTATGGATTCTACGATGTTGTATTGGAATCTTATAATTGCCACATGAACCTTAATATTTATCGAAGGTTAGAGGTGTACTCATGTGAAATGGATGTTTATGGCAACTCAGGAAAACGAGAATAAAGACGAAGTGATAATTAATCAAGGAATATAATGTCGTAGGGGAAGTCCCCTACACCAGAGGTTACTCGAAAGCACTAAAGAAGGTTTATACTCTACTAATATGGTACAAGGACAAGAATGGTTTGCTTGTCGACATACAAGTTTTGACGAATCACTACAAAGTTTTTGTGAGATAGCAGATGGATCATTTTACCAGTTACACATACACCAATGGGACAAAGATGATCGTTGACATCACTACTAGGTTAATCTGAAGTATGAAGATGATAACAAGGAGAAGGATACATAGAAAGGTGATAAATAAAGAGTCAATTGAAATGGAACAATAATCCCTAGGATAGTTAGATCAAGTGTGGAGTTCTTTAATTCAAGGTATTTTGGAACTGCACAAGCCATAAAATACTGTTGCAAAGTGGTTTGCATCGATGTTAGAATAAATGTCTTGTCAGTCTGTCTGCAAGATTGATGGCAAACCTATACAAGAAGTTGTATTGGAATCTAGAACCTAAAAGGTTAAGAAGTCACCGTTACATGAAATAATTCAATAATATTTGAGATAGAAACAATAATTGTTTTCACTGCAAAAAGATGAACGGCGGATCAAAGAAGATACTTCAAGATCAGCTGTCAATTAAAGTATTTGTAAGCCCGGATTAAGAAGGCTCAGATATTTCGTTAATATACTTTATGGATAAGAAACTTGTTTCCATATATAAGATAAGAGGAAATCGTTTTACTATGGAAGGTTGGATTCGGTCAAATGTTAAATGTTGTTTTTCTCAGAAAGGTGAAATCATGAGAACTAAATCAACTTCAGTCATAAGTGAGGTTTCTATGGACTTGATAAAGTCCAGGGTGCTCAGAGAAGAAGATAGACCAAACCCTATCGTATTCACACAAGACTTTGTGATTTGAGATCTTTCAGTCAATATTCTAAGGGTCGAGAGGATAATGTTTTCAGTAAAATTGACCTATCAATATCTGCATAAGGATTAAGTTAAGTGTTATGTTCTATTGGAAAAAAAAAGTCAGAGAAAGGTATGTTAGATTGGCTAGTTAGTTTGACAGAGTGGTTAGTGAAGGATTGCCCTACCCAATTTCTTGCTAGCCGTTCCAAATCTCGGGATGAGATTTCTGTAAGGGGGGTGGATTTGTCACACCCTGAAAATCGCTAAATTATAAATTGTTGTGAAAAAGGAATTTTTAGAATTTATTTAATAATTAAAGTAAGTGTTTGAATAGAATCTATGAAAATTTTGAACATTAAATTGAGATAGATAAAATTTTATTAAATATTTTTAGTGTCCAAGTATTTTCTGGATTTTTCCCGGAATTATTTGAGCATTATAAGTATTTTTAATAAATGAAACATCATTTCAGCAATTATTTAAATTAGAAATTCAATTAAAATTCTCCTCCCTTGTCTTGGGCTGAATCTGGTCCACTCCTTCCTTACCCTTCGGCCTGTTCTTCCTCTCTCAGCCGAAGTCCAGTTTTCATCCCCTACAATCGGGCCAAGTAAAGAAAAAAAGGAAGCCCAGGAAAAGTCTACTTTGCCTCCCCTCGCTACAGTACCTTCTTCCTGCTCCAGCCGAGCCTGAACAGAGCCCGAGCCGTGTGCGTGCGCCGCCGCTTCCTTCGCAAAATCCATCACATCCTGTGCTCCGTTTCCAAAATTGGTTGCAAAAACAGATTTCCCTCGATCTCCTCTACCTTATCCCTAACAAACCCCTTTGAATACCGTTGTATATTGCGTGAATTCGACACGGTTTCGAGCTCCGTTTTTCTGGCGAACCCTAGCTAATCCGCCGCCTATCCCTCCCGTATCCAAGCCGATCTCCTCCTTTGGCTATAAATAGCAGATGCTCTGCCTCCTCTTCCGTTTCCCCTCTTTTTCCTGAGCCGCCGTGCCCCAGCCGCCTCTCCCCACGCTAGCCACTCTCTCCACCGCCGGCCGCCAACTCCAGCCGAGTCGCGCCGCCTCTCCGGTCGTCCCCGATCTGCGCCGTCGCCTCCCTCGGCTTTGTAGTGAAGAGCTCTATCCCGGCCACCCGTTCTTTTGCCCTGAACCCCGCCGGAAGTCGTCATCACTGTGAAGGCCGAACCGTCGCCATGTTTTGATCTCCGGCGAAGCTTTGCCGTCGACTCCGTGGTCGCCGAACCCCGCTGTCTCCTCCGTTGGCATCGCAGCGACAACAGCAAGCATGGCAGCCGCCCCCGTGAAGCCACAAGCCATCGGAGCGTCATCGTCACCGTGAAGCCGATCTAATCCATCTTCAGCCGTGCCGCTCATCGCCGTCCATCGCCGCCTTCGTTCGCTGTCGCCACCCACGGGATCGCAGGAGGGAGGTGAAGACTGTCCGCCCCTTAGTTGCTGCCTCCCCTCGTCAAAACGCCGCCGTCATCGTGGACAGAGCCACGCCGCCGCTTAATCTCGTCGCCGGCCATCTCCCGTCATCGTCCGTGGTCATGCCGGCCCTTGGTGAGTTCGTCATGGCCTCCTCTCTCTCCCGAAGCTGTCCCTTGTCGCCGGGGCATCGTCGTTCAGTTCTCGTTGCTATCCAAAGCCATCTGCCGGTGATGATGTTATCGCTGATATCCGTATTATCTCAAGCCATTGCAAAATCAATATAAATTCTGTCATATCTTTTCAGTGACATTATTCCTTTTTAATATATGTCATCTACCATGTATGATCTAATCTATTTCCGGAGGATGTTTTAATCTTTTGTCTCAGCTATAAATCATTTGTAAATTGTTTAAACAATTTGGAATAGTTCTTTCTTTAATAGGTTTAATTGAAATTAATTCTTGTAAAATTCATAAATAATTCGTTCGAACTCGGAATGAGGTCGTTCAAGTCTCATAATTCATCTAAATACAAGATCTACCCATTTATGAACTTTAATTGTACTATTCATTTGGTTTTTATTAGTGTTTTTCCTTGTTTTGCGTTCTAGGTTTAGTTTTCCGTTGTTTCGGATGATCGTTCGTTCGTTGGAGGAGTTCCTGAAGACGAATTGAAGACGCTTGTTTGTAAGGCAAGTCACACAGATCCCAAACAACCCTTTGAGCATGTCGAACCTGTTTAAAGCTATTGATTTATTTCTACTTACGCATTGTCTTCGAATGTCATTGGGTGTTGAGCCTTTCCCATTTAATTCTGGCCGAAGATGACTTTATTTTCCTATGGGTTATAATTTGACTAGCATGAACCTTATATATTGGATTGGTTCAGCTAGATGTTATTTATAGTTGCTTAGTCATGCTCAGAAACATTAGCTCATTAATGGGATAAATCATGTTTCACTATTACTTATGGTTATATTTAATGGTAGCTCACGATGGTCAATCATGTTATGATAATTAATTGATAATTAAAATATGATTAATGGTGGGTTGTGAGCACATGGTTCTGAAGGTCGTGCTCATGACAATTAAGGACCGGTTCGCGAGCTATTATTGTGAAACATTAATCGTGCCAACCACAAGCAAGCGTGGGCAACGGCTTTACCTTTTGTATAGCATGGTTCATTACGGGGTGCCAGACTGAGAAGCGGCGAGAAGTCCGTGGGGGTCGCTGGGGAGTCCATGCCTCTGGTTTTTGAGGGGGTGATTATGATCCAGAAATGGTGCACTGTGGTGAGTTGTGTTGTGCAAAGGGTACTGTCACGATTTCCCCCCTTGCAGTGCCGTGGTGGTACTACGGGGCATGGCAACATGTGTGGAATCGTGTCTTGTGGGTACAGTGGTACATCTCTGGCCAGAATAACACTATTCGAATAGCCGTGCCCGCGGTTATGGGCGGGTCTAACAATGTTTTTCGTGATTAGTCCCACACTACTCATTAATGATAATAATGTGATAATTAATTTGACTCCTGGTTTGAAATAGATAATTCCTGGTTTGGAGGTTTGATCTGTACGACCGGGGTTGGTTGTTCAGGTTTGGTTGGGCCTGTGCAGCATGGGTGTGCTGTTCAGTGTTGATTAATATTGATGATTAATTACTCTACTGTTTTACAATTTCTCAACTCTTTGCTAAATGCTGCTTTCGCAAATGAACCCTATATTATGCCATCCTTTGGTATCCTTGTGCACTTGCATACTTGCTGTGTGGCTTGCGGAGTATTCCATGTACTCACCTTGCAATAATCATCAAACCTTAGTTGAAGAAAAAGGATCCAGAAGGAGAAGACGTTTGGCTTATACCCCAGTTGAGCTGCCTGTGGGAGTGGAGCTGAAGCTTCGCTAGGTTTTATTTTTCCACTCTAGTTTTCTTCATGGTGAGGACTAAGTGCCTCTTATGTAAGTATTTATTCGCTTTAGTTATTTTGATGAATCTGTATATTAAATTATCAGTTTGTGTACCTCGGTTGATTCCTGGACGAGGGTCTTAATGCACAAATTAGTTTGGAAATTACTTGTGAATTTCTGGGCGTGACAACACATTCTCTTCGTGTTGTCCTTCTCCACAAAAATGACCGGAGCACCCCAAGGTGAAGTACTTGGTCGAATGTACCCTTTCTGCAGTTGCTCATCCACCTGCTTCTTGACCTCTACTAGCTCGTTGGCTGCCATTCTGTACGGTCTCTTGTAAATTGGAGCAGTCCCCGGTGCCAAATCAATCCGGAATTCAATCTCTCTCTTGGGTGGCATGGTAGTGAGGTCCTCAGGGAACACCTCTGGATACTCGCATACTATGGGGATATCTTCCAATTTCCTCGAACTCTTCTCCTCGGTGGCCACCGGATTTTTCACCTCAATCAGATTTAAGGAGATCCCCTGCTTTAGTGAGACTGGTGACTTGTACACCACTGCTTCTCCCTTCTCATTGGTCAAGGTGATTGTGCGATTCACACAATCAATGACACCTTTGAACTTGGTAAGCCAATCCATCCCAAGAATGACATCTAGGTCTTTGGATTCGAGAAGGATGAGGTTGGCTAGAAATGGTGATCTTTGGATTTCTATTAGCACGGAAGGGCTATAACTGACCGAGGTTGAACTATTTCCCGGGGTATGAACCCTCATTGGTGTACTAAGCTCTTCTTTTCTTAACCCATGCACCCCAGCAAACTTCTTTGAAATGAATGAATGCGTTGCACCAGAATCGAAAAGTACTGTTGCAGGGATCGTGTTAACAGGAAACGTACCCAGTATGACCTCTGGTGCTGCTTGCGCCTCTTCTGCGGACGCGTGGTTAACACGGGCTTGGGCAAACCTTGGCCCGGCACGCGTTGGCTTCGGGCACTTGTCAGCAAAGTGGCCATGCTCGCCACAGTTGAAACAGGACCCTGGCTTTGCCCCAGTCTCCTTCTTGGCTTGGGCTGATGGAGCTGATTGTGCTGGTGCCATTGGTGGGTGCGGAGCTGCATTGCAGTTGGGCTGACCTCCTTGGTGGTTCTGGCTCCCACTGGCGCCCTGGTGGAAGCCGCTTGAGTTGAAAGGGCGATGTTGGTGGACAATCATGATGGTTGGTCCACCCTGTTGTCCGGAAGTGAAGCGTGGTCGCTGGTGACTTCTTGGGTTGGACCGGAACTGAGCCGTCTTTCTCTTCCTGTCCATTTTGTTTCGCCGATCCTCCTGACGGATTGCCTTCTCAACCAGCTTCTCAAAGTCGGCGTAGTCTCTAGAAATCAGCTGGTTGGTACGCTCGTCATCCAGGCCCGCTAGGAGCTTCTCCTGTTTCAATGCGTCAGTGCGGACATCCTCCGGTGCGTATCGCGCTAGGCGATTGAACTCATGCAGGTACTCGGTTACTGTCCTGTTGCCCTGGTGGAGTGCGCGGAATTCTCTCTTCTTTTGTGCCATGACCCCGTCTGGCACCTGCGCCTTCCTGAAGCTGCAACAGAACTCCGCCCAAGTGACCTCCGTACCTGGCGGACGGGTAGCCATGTGATTGTCCCACCAAGCTGACGCGGGACCCTGGAGCTGGTGTGTGGCGAAGGCGACCTTCTCCTGATCATTGCACTGCAGAAGATTGAGCTTCTTCTCTATGGCATGGAGCTAGTCATTCGCCTCCATGGGGTTGGTGGTGCTAGAGAAGGTGGGTGGCCTGACGCGTAGAAACTCCGGCAGCTTGGACAGAGGGGGAGGGGGACCAAACTGCTGCTGCTGCTGCTCAGCTTGCTGCTGCATCCTCTGGTGCATCTACTGGTGCTGGTGCTGCATCTGCTGCATCATGGCTTCCATCATCTGTGTCTGATGGGCCATCACTTGTGCAAGAATCGGGTTCTCGAGAAGCGGTGGCGGACCATTGCTGGAGGCGCTGTTGGGATGCCCACCGTCGGTGCGTTCTTCACCGTTGCTGCCCTCACCTGCTGCACGGCTGCCATTCCTGGTGTTGATCATCTGAAGGAAGAGCAGATGGAGGGGATGGAAAAGAAGAAAAATAGATGCTCAGGAACTAAGCTTTATTATATAGGAATTTAAACTGCAATTGTTCTGATCTGAATTAAAACACTTAAAACAGCAAGCAAATCCTTATTAAGACAGCCACATCATAGGCACATGATGTCGACCGTCGACGACCCACAAGCGAACAAACCTAAACACACAAGCTGGCAGGCAATTACTAAGCAGTCGATAAACTAAGGGAAAATGAGCCTAATGCTCGGAACGGCTCCTGCGGTCGGTGGAGTTGAAGGCGTTCTCCTGCTTGTCGCCAGGTCCCTCTGAGCGGCTCCTGGAGTCTGGCAGATACGTCTCGCTGCTACCAAGCTCTGAGCCACTCGAACTGCTGCTGCTTTGGTCGCGGCTGCCACTGGGAATAGCAGGCAACCAACCACCGTTGCCACTGGCTGGACCCCTGGTGGCTGACGCTGGAGCGAAGGAGAGAGCGGACGCGGGAGCTGACACTGGAACTGGAGCTGGGGTTGGAGCTGCTGCGGGAGGAACTGGAGGAGCTGCGGGTGCTGCGGGAATTGCGGGCGGAGGTGGGTTCCTGGGCGCAAGCTTAATGCGCACGGGTGCAGTCGTCGACTTGCGAGGCGTGGTGCGGATCCGGACTCCTCCGGGAGCAGGCAGACCCTTCAGCTGAGCGTTCTCCTTCTTCAGGCGTGCTATCTCATCCATCAGAGCTATGATCCTCACAAGCTTTCCATCATTCAAGGCCTTGGATGCCTTGTGCAGGTCGGAGTGCATCCTGTCCATTCCCCTCATCACGGTGCACATGTGGCCGAAGGTGGGGTCGTTCTCGCCGACTGTCGGGCGGAAGGTGCTGATGTCGTCGCCATTGCTGGGCGAGGGTGGAAGCGGTATGCCATGTTGCAGATCCCGACTGACTGTCAAATAAATCTCAAATAATTTTACTAAAACACTAGACTGACCTGCTTTGACAAATCCCACTTAAACGAGCGACCAAGATTTTCCCTTGAACCGCAGAAACAAATCCCAATTTTCCCCGGAACAAATCTAATTGCAAAGAACATATGCAATGAAAAGGATTCAGAGGGTTCTTAGGTTTTCCATTTGGCTTGTCCTACGGTCATGGTCGGCTCTGATACCAACTTGTCACGCCCAGAAATTCCCAAATAGAATTCCAAGCAGAATGTGCATTAAAACCCCCATCCAGGACCGGCCGGGGTACACAACGACAAAGTTGACATACAGATCCACGTCTTACAAACATCATAAAAGTCTTACATAAATGCAGCGAAAAGCTAAAAGATAACTGGAGCTAAGCCTTGACTTGGACCGCAGCGGGATCACCACTCCACAGGCATCCTCGACGGCACGGACGAAGCCTACTCCTCGGAGAAACCGCCATCTGACGCATACTCAAACTCTGGGGTTTGGGGAAAATAGAGCAAGACTGAGTACTACCCACTGTACTCAGCAAGTCATACCGGAATAGGGTATGATGCAGGGAATTATCAAAGGATATCTAGAGTGGTTCATTTGCATAAAGCGAGCATTTATAAACAGTAGTTGAAAGCAGAAAAAACAGTTGTAATAATTAATCAATATTAACCATCCACTGTCCAACGCTACACCACGTTGCAACAGGCCCAACCATCCACCTGAACTAATCCGTTCCATCAGACTAAACTAGGGTGAGACTAATCACGGTGAATCTGGTTGACCGCTCATAACCGCGGGCACGGCTATTCGAATAGTTTTACTCTGATCAGAGGTGTACAACTGTACCCACAAGACACAGCCCCACGACACATTTCCGTGCACCGACATGCCACCACGACATACCGGATAGAGGCCGTGACAGGACCCTTCGCATAATCCCCTCTAACCAAGCACACCACACCTCAGGTTTCACCCCCACTCCTCGCAAGGCAGCGGGTAGTCCCTTCTCATGCCTAGGTGAATCCGGAAGCCGCATAGGCCGTTGCAGGGCCCATCCAAACTCCATCACGCCCACCCTTGCCTGGATGCGTCAGCTAGAGGAAAGCTACACTACAAGCCCAGCCGTTACCCACGCTGGCTTGTGGTAAGTACGATGAATTCTTCCAGGGTTTCCCGCGAACCGGTCCTTAAGTGCCATGGGCGCGACCAACGAAACCATGCACCTACAGCCCACCATTTAGTTAATTTTTAATTTACCAACACCGGAGCGGTGGCACTAAACCAACATCAACACTAAAACCTGAAGTCTAATCATTAATGTGATTTCCCCCATGGTGTGCTAGTTGAACTAAGCATGGCTAAGCAATCTCTAGTCCAACATCTAGTCATGTTATATCCCAAGCTAACAAAGGAGCAAGGTACAAAAATAGCATGGCTGTAACAGTAGGTAAACATCCCATAGTAACATTATAAAACAATGCAGTATTTAAGGGAAAACGGTAGAGCATTTGTAATATAGGATCAACATGTTCAAGTGACAAGCATGACTTGCCTTGCTCTGCTGCTGGAGGAACCTCGGCGACTATTTCAAAGTACACCGGAGCGTCGGGAGAGCCGGAATCTAAGCGACATACAAAGCAAACAATACAAACAGGCTATAAGACTACTGAAACAGAGAACAAAACCATTTTTAATGGATTCTATGCATTTTTCTTGATTTTCTGAGACTTGAATGGGCTTAAACGGAGCTCGGATGAATTAGATATGAATTTTAGAAGATTCACTGTGTTTTTACTATAAACAGAAAAATCCTTAATTGATTTATTGCGCAATAATTAAATTCGCAAGGAGAGAGGGGGCGGCGCCAACATGCGGGCCCCACATGGCAGTGACTAGGGGGGGCGGTCCATGGTGGACTAGGTCCACGGACCGGGGAGGAGCGGCGCACCACGTGGTGCACATGTGGCGCCGACGCGGCGCACACATGGCGGCCATGTGGCAGCCACGTGGGCGGCGGGGTTGGATGGCCCCGATCTACCGGTAGATCGGACGGCGGAGGCGGCTCGCGGCCGGGCGCGCACGGGCATGACTCAAGCCGACCCGGCGGCCGTGGCGCGCGGCAGCGCAGCGTGACGCGACGGCGACGCAAGGCGGCGAGCGGCCAACGGCGGAGAGCGGCGGCGACCGACGACGAGCGGCGGCGCACGGCGAGTGATGGCGGCGCGACCCCGAGGGCTAAGAGGGAGAGGGGGAATGACAACAGGGATATGCTCACCGGTGTTCGGCCGGAACGAGGGGGCGATGGCGAACGGCGGCAAGGTGACCGGGGGACGACGGCGAATGGCGGACGGTCTCTGGAACCACCTAGCGAACAAGATGAGAGGGGTTAGAGGGAGAGAGGAAAATGGGAGAGGGCGAAGACGCTGGCCGAAGGCAGCGGCCATGGCAGTGCTCACCGGCGCACGGGGCGGAGAGGGTTCCGGCGGTGGATTCCGACGGAGGAGAGGTGGACGGGACGGCCCGCACGACGGCGAACGCGACGGCGTGGCTCGGCACGGCGGCTAGCGGTGGCCGGAGAGGCGGCGGCGGCGGAGAGGAGGGCGACGGCGCTAGGGCAATAGAGAGCACGGGAGAACTCGGCGAAATAAGGAAAAAGAGAGAGGGGAGGGCGGTGATGCTTAAATAGGGGAGAGGTGGCTCGGACGTGGCTGGGAGTGGCCCGATTTCACCGGCCGACGTGGGGAGGTGGAGGTGGAGAGAGAGGCGGGATTCGAAAATCGAATCCCGGCCGTCTCGAGAGCGGGCGCGGGTGGGAGAGAGGGGGAGTGGGCGCGGGAGACGCGGGCGACGTGGGCGACGTGGCCTGGAAGACGCGGGAGCGAGGGCACGGCGGCGCCGGCTGGAGGTGGGAGACGGGCCCGATAGGTGGGCCCCACCTGTCGGCGACCTGAAGGGAGGAGGCGGCTGGCTCAGCTGGGCCTCGGCCTTCGGTCGGCCTAGCGGGGAAGGGGGGAGAGGAAGAGAATGGGCCGGCGGCCCATTCGAAAAGGAAAGAAAAAGAGGGAAAAAGAAAGAAAAAGAAGGAAATGAATTTCCAGGGAATTAAATATTGCTTGTGCTCATTTTTAATTGGTTAAAATTATTTCCAGAGCTCTGAAAATTCCACTAAAAATCTTGTTAGCGTATTTCGATATGTAGAACTCAAGAAAAATCCCACATGCCAGTTCCGATTATTATTTGCATTGATTTATTAGGGTTTCACTCTTGCTTTTACACCAGTATTTTCTTGAGACCATTTATAAATTCAATTTAGGCTTGGGAGAAGAACTTCAGGGTGTGACACCTCGCGATTCCCAACCCTAACCGCCGTCTCCCCGCCCCAAAGGTCTCCGGCGCGTGCTCCCCCCAACCACCGGCGCCGATTCCCAACCCTGCACGCCGGAAGCTCTCCCATCGCCAGGTACAAGATGATGGCATTTAATTGTTGGCAAGTTACTCCAAGGTGTTTGTTCTTCTGATGGTTAGAAGTGTAGTATAAACTGTGCAACTACAATCATTGCATCCCGTTCGTATCCATGGCTACAAAGTGCTAGCATCAGGATACATATATTCTTCTTTTATTGTCAAGCAGTTCATGAGCACCAATCGATCCATTCTTTTTCTGATCATGTTGTGCTAATTTATATTTGTTCAGATTTACATGCCATTTGGGTTCACATATTCATAGTTATCAAATATTTCTGTCATTAGAGTAGCTGGACTGACAATCATTTTTAGTTACAGTGGTATATTTGGCAGAAATCTCACATCTTAATATCTCAAAATTAAAGTAACAATACTCAAATAAACTTTTCCTCATGATTTCTATTGTGCTTTAGGTGTTATATATAATTTTGAGATACCGGTCACGCCGACGCCGTCTTCTCCCTACTTCACCCGCAGGTACTGCTTCATTGCTTCCGCTCCCACCTTCCTCTTCTCTTTTTGATTCTGAACTTTATATGATCTATCATGTGGTAGCTAGGTCTTTTTTTTTTTGGAATCAGACTATTTACAATAAAAGCAATAGGTTTGCTATGAGTGTAACGTCAGAGCACATGGATCATGAACAAACACAGATAATTTCCCTCTGTTTTCCTGAAAGTTATTTTGAACCAATATAAGGATCTGTTCACATGCATCAGTTATTATGTTGGATGTTTGAGATCCTACGGTACAACATCCCACAAATTACAATAACAAGTATCCATCTCGATGAGAAATTGTGTATTCATATGCAATATTAATAATCCATTCTAAGCCTGTTTTTCAAAATATATCTTTAGGTATATATAATTCCTCAACATTCGCAAACAATATTATCTACTCTGTGGGTCTATACATTAACATCCTTTCATATTTAACCTTATTTCTTAGTCATAGGTTGACGTTGGCCCTGCTAATGACTAAACTTTATATTTTTCAAGTGACACCCTTAATAGTGCTCTGACCCACTCTATTTTCCACCTGAAGAACATTTCTCTCTCTATAGTTTGCATAATCATGAAAACATCACCTAACCTTGCAAATACGCCTACTGAATTCCTTGAAGGTAGTGATAAATCTTAGACTGAATATTCAGTCATGTTATTTGAAAATGTCCTGTTGCGATGTTGGTTGCATCCTCTTACGGCAAATTCCTTGGAACATATATGTAAATTTTGCGACATCTTTTCGCAGTCGCAATCCTTTAGTTGCGCCTTATGTTGTACTGGGAGAACATATTTAACCATAAACTTTGTCTTACATGTTCGCACTATGAATCATCAGGTTTATCATTTATATAGTTAGGGTTACCGTTCTATGTTGTACTCTACCACATTATAATTATTTTTCATCCTCATTTTTTCTATGTTCTCTGCATGAAGTCTCAAGGGTTACGGCAGAATGTCCTAATGATCCTCAATCTGTGTATAATGACAGGGTGAAACGACAGTTGAAGGTTACTAGAGCGTTTGGTGCAGGCTTTCTAAATAAGGTAACTTTACAGCTTATTTAAGTCCATGGCTGTTGTTCAACTGTTGTTCAACTGCTATTTGTTTTGAGGATGGTAAAAGAAATTGTCTAAACATCTACAAATTGGAGCATCTAATTTGGTTGAGGATGTCCAGCTATCTGATTATGAAATCTTAGGCCAGGGTTACATCTTAATCTTCAGACTATACCCTGACAGTGACAGTGAACCCTGTTTCTCGGAATACTTTTATTCCACGTCATGTTATTATTTTAAATTATATATTTTAAAATTTGAATTGTCAAATGTCACCCGTAGTGTTTGTACGGGCAATATATATATATATATATATATATATATATATATATATATATATATATATATATATAGACACACACACATGTGTGGGTGTGCCAGTGCTGACTTCAAATATTAAGATGTGAAGTTTAGTATTTATATTCCTCCATTGCAAACTTCAGTTTATTATTTATATGCTCTTGCTTTTATAATTAAGCATCACAGTTTAAAAATAACTGTTTTTATATCCTGACTCTTACTGTTGGCTCAGATACAAGTGAAGCTATTTGTGTGAGCTCTAGCTGTACCAAAATCTCTCGAGTTACATTGTTGAACAAAGTTGGTATTGGCTGTGCAACCAGATCAGTCGCACAGGACTTTGTCCAAATTGTGTGTGTCATTCCTAATGGATGCATAAACAATAATAAAACTTTTGTATGCGATATGTGTTTGATCCTATGAAGAATGTGAGGGGGATTTGGGTGATCTCACCAGCTGTTGGCTCTTACATGGCATGATTTACAGTGTGTAAAAAAACATGACGTGCTCTGTAAGAATTGATGAGTCTTGTTCAATATAAAAGCAGAACTATCGATATGCCGTGGATGAACATCCCTTGTTTGGATTAATTTGCATCAATTTAGACTCGATTGTTGTCATCCCTTGACGTAGTACTATGATTTTTCATGGTCAATCATTAGTGCTGGCTAAATGGATAATTTGGATCGTATTATTACAGGATGTGTTTTTTTTTCTATAAATCATGTGCACGTACTACAAACTCATTAATAACATAAAGTAAACATTAGGTACGCATGGATGCAAATCACCATGAAAGTGGAGTGCGCGAAGCCCTTGGAGATATAACGAATCACTATAAATGTGTAGTATACTGGATAGTGGGTTTTATGTAAGATATTTATTGTCCTTTTGTATCTAACTTTATTATTTAAAAACGCAGGTCGTGTGAATGAAAATGGATTATCCAATGAATCCCAGCGTAAGAATGAAGAAAAAAAACTTTAAACAACGCATCTGGCGTGCAAATACGGAGGCTCAGAAGAATAGTAATACCATTCATACGCAAGAGATGCCTATTTCAGGGTCCGAACTATGTCATAATGGAGAAAACAAGGTTTCTGAGATTACCACCTCAGCAAAGAGGGAACAAAATAACAGCTATCTACGTGAATGGCGTGCAAGAAAGAAGGCTAAATCAAGTGGTTGCAGTATTGTATCTCCTATCATGCCAACGCAAGCAACAATTCTTACCCCTGCAGAACACAATGAAGATTGTGATGTCCGACAATCTTCAATGTGTGACAAAGATAAGAAAAGATTAGAGAGGAATATATACCAACGTGAGTACCGTGCAAAGAAGAATGCGGAGAAAGTCGAAGTTAACAAATCGAGCGCTACACCAAGCACCAGGCGGAGAAGCATTGCCTGGACATACAATTTTGGGTAAGTTTTTATAATTTACCCAATATTGATTCTTTTGCTCATATTTTAAACAATTATTGTACATCATATAGACTGCTACTGGATTTGGTATAAGTCCAATGTTCCATAAGGATATAGATCTTGTGGGGTCAGTTGGTAGCTGGTCGAAAATCCATTATGAAGTTGCAAAATGCAAATCGGTAAGCTAGCTATCCTTTGTTCTTATTTGAATGTGTTTTTTATATTATCTTGACGGTTGACTTTTTCCAGATTCTTATACCAGTATGTGCTGTTGGAAGCTATATCTTGGTCATACTGGACCAAGAAAGTAGAACACTTTATCTTCTAGACCCTAATCCACTAAATCCAATGTATGAGAACAACCCAACTATGAGATATACCAAAAAATTGTTAAATGTTACCAACTATTTCAACAGAGCCATGCGTGTGGCATGTCCTGGCTCTAGGTGGATTGACGATATCGACTTGTGGCGCCATATATATGTCACAAATCCGGTGGCTGACTCGTAAGTTTTCTTGTATAATCTTGTTTGATCCAATAAATTATTTTTGTATAACGCATGGTACCTAACTATTCAAATTTCATAGGAATTTATCGGGTTGTCTCGTACATCTGTTCATGCGATCCTGGAAATATGGAGCACTTCATTTGCCGTCTTTTAAGGTCATTCTGACTAGCATTGGCATTTAGAATATTATATTTTATTTTATAATACAGTCATTTCTTTTATAAACATATGCATTTGAAGGATGTTGACGAGCTAAGGAAACAATTTTTGCTATATATACTGATGTACGAGCAAAATGAGTGCGCAAGCAACATTCCTAGCGGCGCACGAGATTTTCTTCACTGTATCGCAAATGCAAAACATTAGAATAGTTATTCTTTACCTATGGGGTGTATTCTATACATAACAAATGCTTTATTTAAATAATGGAATAACTCTATACTTCTCTAACATATTTTTATGCGTATATTGCCTTTTATATTGTGTACATAGGGTATATTATATATATAATTAAGTCATGTAAAGTTTTACAGTGCCCACGTAATATCATAGAATGCACCTTACATGAAATATATTTAATGTACTATATGAATTTGATTAAATTTCAAATGCACAGATCATATAAAAATATTTTTTGGTAACATGAAATTTTTTTAAAGATACAGTTAATAGAATTGCACCGTAGCATTTAGCATGGGCATATTACTAGTACAATATAGTACAATAGAGCCTCTTATAATTCAGCTCAAGCTTGGAAGTGTGTGTGAGAGTGAATGAAGTCTATTTATAGGACATGTATGACGGTTATAGGAAGGGGAATTGTCCGAAGTGCCCCTCAACTACCATCAGGAGTGCATCTGGACCATCCCTGCCAAACCCCAGGATCAACGGTGTTGATCAGGGTTCGGTCGAACCTGGTGGTTCGGCCGAACCTGGGCTGGCCCATCTGGTCCTCAGCTTCGGCCTACCTCCTTTCCTGGTCCTACTTTATCTATTTCTCAAAGTTTTGGGCTGACTTTCTGGTATTTTGATATACAATCCATCCTTGTATGGATACATACTTCTCCTCACTTTAGTCCAGATTTCCTCCCAATCTCATGGTTTATCACCTGCATACAAATATACACCAACACTTGTGGAATATATGAGATTAAGAACCGATCACTATGTTGGATGTTTTATTATCTGAACTTTATGTAGATGTTGGCGGTATAGAATTGGCATTTAATAGTTGCCAACAGGTTCCTGACGATGCTGCCCCCACCCTGACGCCCCGCGAAGCCCAGGCCTCGAGGCCCGAGGGGGTCGACCTCGACCCCCCACGACAGGTTGCCTGGATGGCCGACATCCGGGCATACCTTGGCAGTCGCACTCTTCCTGAGGATCACGCAAAAGGCGAGAAGCTCGCGCGCATCTCCAAGCGGTACATGCTAGTAGAAGGGACCCTCTACCAGCGTGGTGCCAATGGAGTCCTCTTGAAATGCATCCCTCGGGAACAAGGCATCGAGATCATCGGCGATGCCCATGAGGGGGAATGCGGGGCCTATTCGGCCTTGCGCACTTTGGTCGGTAAAGCCATTTGGCAGGGCTTTTACTGGCCAACCATGCTCTAGGACGCCCAGGACTGGGTCCGACGATGCAAAGCTTGCCAGTTCATGCCAAGTAGACTCATCAGCCAGCCCAAGCCCTGCAGGTCATCCCGTTATCTTGGCCCTTTGTGGTCCGGGGTTTGGACATCCTAGGGCCCTTCAAGGCGACCCGAGGCGGGTATCAGCATCTGTATGTCGCCATCAACAAATTCACCAAGTGGCCCGAAGCTTACCCGGTCATCAAGATCGATAAACACTAAGCGCTGAAGTTAATCAGGGGCATCACATCCCGATTCGGAGTGCCGAACCGTATCATCACGGACAATGCACCCAATTCACCAGTGAGCTATTTGGTGACTATTGCGACGACATGGGCTTCAAGTTATGCTTCACCTCACCCGCCCACCCCAAGAGCAACGGCCAAGTCGAGCGCGCAAACACTGAGATCCTCAAAGGCCTCAAAACCAAAATGTACAACGTCCTCAAGAAGCATGGGGACTCGTGGACCGAGGAACTGCCCGCGGTGCTGTGGGCCAATCGGACCACCTTGAGCCATGCGACAGGAGAAACCCCTTTCTTCCTGGTATATGCTGCTGAGGCGGTCCTACCTATGGAGCTCTCCCTAGGCTCGCCTCAGGTTGCGCTGTACAACGAGGCGGATCAGGACGAGCTCCATCGCGACGACCTCAACTATTTGGAAGAGCGAAGAAGGCGCGCGGCCCTTCGGGCAACGCGCTACCAACGGAGCTTGCGGCACTATCATCAGCGCCACGTCCATGACTTTGTCCTCCACTGTGTCCAATCGTGCTTAGGATTGAGCAAACTTTCACCAATGTGGGAGAGACTATACAAAGTGATCGGTGTCCCCCGGCCAGGTTCGGTTCGATTGGCCATGGAAGACGGCACATAACTGCCTAATCCCTGGAACATCGAACATCTTCGCCGCTTCTAGCCATGACATCGATTGTCTTTTCTTTTGGGCTCGAGCCAACCCCCGCACACCCCTCGGGCTGTGCGGGCTTGGCCGGGGGCTACCAATATCAATATCTGTATCTCACCATCTCTCTAGCAATAAATCCACTTATTTAATCAAAGCTGTTGTGTGCTTTTTCGCTTCCTTCCTGAGTCTTGTTCCAGCTTAGGGGTGACTTGTGCTTAGCGGGTCTCCCGAGGTGATGGCTCTGCCCCTCGCTGCTTAGGTGCCGGGGGCTAATCACGAACCCTCTTCCCTTATCCGAACGAGCGCCGGTGGGGGGGGGAGGTGGGAGTGAAGGTACGAAAAGAGCGGTCCACTTCTAAGAAAAGTAATTAAGCGGTTTCCCTATTCTCCCCTGTCACATGCATGCACAGATCAAAAGAGTGCAGGCATGCGAGGATGGAAGCTTATATACATCCACTAGGGGCAGCGCGAAGGCCTAGAGTCAACCATGTCCATCACAAAAGCACAATAACAAGAAAAAAGAAAAAGGGCAAACACGGGGTGCCCGGACCTCCGAGTCTGGTGCCACTGACGACTTCGTCGCAGTCTTCATCGCCGCCGTCGCTGTCGCTGCTGCCGCCCGAGGGCAATGCAAGGGTGAATCGAGGGTCCGTGCCCTCGAAGCTTGCCACGATCACGTCCGCCGCCACTGGACCTCCGCTCGAGCCGCCTCTTCGGTGCCTTGGGGGAAGTCCTCGAGAGCGCGTCAGGGGAGGAACTCGGAGTTGCGGACTTGGTAACTCGCCAGGATGACCTCCACCGCAGCCCGCGCTAGCGAAGCGGACGACGACCTAACATCCGCGTCAACCTCCCCCTGCAGTTTCTCCAGGTTGATAGCCGTCTCGTCCAGCCGATGTGCGAGCGCCGGCCTGGTGGCTGGTAGCTTCTCGTCCCAGCGCCTTGAGATGCCCACCCGGCGTCCCACGTGCTCTAGCCGCTCGATGGCGTCGTGATGGAGGCCAGGCCCCACGTCGTTGGCAAGACGAAGGGCCCCGATCTCCCCGGCCTGGCCTTGTGTCAGGCGCTCCAGGGTGGCGAGAGCGTCCTGAGCTGTGGCGAGCCGGTCTGC